ATGAATTCTGTACAACTCCTTCGAAATATAGTGAAAAACGTTAAAAACAATTGTCACCCGTGCATATCGTTATGGTTCTCATGTAACATTTAAAATATCTGATTCACGGTATTGCAAGACTCCCAAATGTGGGATGTCATTGTAAGCGTGCAGTCGTTCTCTTAGTCATGTAGTGGTCGAATATAAATCCAACAACGTTTTGAACTGCTGCAGATGTGGCCTCCATCACAAGTTCAGGCAAATTGTTCCAAATATTTACCACTCTCCGTTCGGAGCACAGCGGTTTGGGAACTCGCTTCACATCCGGCACCACAAGTTTGTATCTGTGTCCGCATGTGCTGCATGGCCATCGTAAGTACAGCATTGGCTTCAGAATGTGGAAGTCAGGGAGATGTAGAATACAGTAGGCCACAATGAGATTGACTCGCACCCGACGGTAGGACTAGGTCATAAGGTTTCCTACAACCTAGAGACCGTAATCTGATCGTGCATTAAGGGGCAAGTCCTTTTAGGCTACGACCTACCTGATTACTTGGTGTGTCTTGGTATGATCCATATCGACGTCTGCTGTTGTGGGTACCGAGACCGATGAGTCAAGGCAATATGCTGTAACCTGGGTGCACAGTTCTTTTAACGTTGAATATTTGTTGAATTTATGTGAACCACCTGATGCACCATTGCTGGCAATGGCATAGTAACTTTTAATTTGACTCCTTTTAATAAATTTCTCGTGTTTTAAAGGATCGGATCGTGTCTTTGGCACCGCTGATAGCGGTTTCGGTCAGTCCTTCAGTCGAACTAGTTGCCGAACTGATGTTGTGAAGAACTCAATCTTTTGAAATCGCTTTGATTTATATTTTTTAACTTTAATGCTGACTAGTTTCCGCGCGCCGACATTTAGCCCAGGAACAATGTCCGTATTCATGATTGGAACTATGTCGTAACTGGTGGTTTGAGAACATTTCGATGGCAATAGTGGCTGGCTTCATCAAACTTCCCTTTGTAGGGCCGTTTTGTCAATCGACATTCTTGATGTTTTGAAGGTTGCGTTTTCTGCTATGCTCTTTTTGATAAACTTGTTCATTATCTGTGCGTTACTAGATTGAAAAGTACAGGACCATTTTTGCGCTCAATGTTCTTTCGATGCATTGAACACCTGCACCGAGTGTCTTCCATCTTACCTGCTTTGAGCAGATTTTTTTTACAATGTTTCTATGGGCAGTTTATCTAACTCCTTCAGGTCTTCCCCGTTGTTACCTTTGGATCATCGCTAGTATTTGAGTGGCATCAGCGTGCCTGAATTGATATGGTCAGGGAGTTTTCGGTGGTCATGATCAGATCATCTCATTCTACTTATGCTCATACACCACCGACTAGGGAGCGTATTATTAATAAGTAGGAGGATTTTTGATGCAATTTTACTCACAAGCCAGATAGCCCAAACCCCAATCCGGAAAAGCATCAGACGATCGTTTGGTCTACCGGATTTTGGGTAAGTTTCATGGTGAGTTCAATCGTTGACTTGTATTGGGAATTGAAGTCACTTACCACCAAGCTGGGTTCTTTAAGTTCTTCTTTCCACCTAGGCGGGGGTCCACATGACATGCTCTGCGCTCTGCTTTTCTCATTACAGGATACCAGTGGCACTCCTGCTATCTTCTTCTGCTCGGGGTATTTATTTAAAGCGTGTACCGTGGTGTTATCTGTTGGATCTGACGAAATTCTTTCCATGTTTGCTGAAAAACGGTGATTTTTTGTTGGCTGAGCTTGTTGCTAGTTGGTTTTTGATAAGATGCCTTCTAGTGCCTCACCCGAAAAAATTTTTAAGTCTTAACCGCGTACGTTGGCTGGTTCATTTCCTCCGTATGCCTGTTGACCGCCTTCGTCGGTGTGCGTTATACGCCATGGCTGCATCAAGTCTGGCTAGACCGCGAGGTGACCAGTGGCGGACGTGGCATAAAGACATGCAAAAGCTGACCGAGAGACTTGGCCATGCTAATGCTTGCTGTCTTCCTTGTGAGGGCCGCGGGATACTCCACACCAATAGTTGGAGGCATAGCACAGTCACGCAGTCAGTGGCTTTCCCGCACTTGATTTCTTACATCTACCTGTTAATATTAATTCCATTCCGATCAGTTTTTGGCTTTTCTGTCCTGATTCCACTTACTTTGTACTCTATTTACATTTAATCTCGCTTTTTACCGTTGGCCATTGTTATTCTGATGCCATGAGTCGTAGCAACCGGATTTACCGCACTTCGCTGTCCGGGTCACAGGTGTTTGACTTAACTGAACTGGTTCTACTTATCAGCGATCAATCACTAGAAATGCTGTATCAGTTCTCTTACCTTGGCAGACAACATATCTCTGGTTGTCACCTCAGTAAGTGGGTTGACCTGCGTATCAGCAGGGTCCGTTTGGCTTTCTAGAGACTCAGCCATCTATGAACACGGCGGGATATCGTGTTTAACGCCGCGATAAGACCGATGTTAGTGTCTGGACCAGACCCTTGACCAGTTCGCCTTGAAGACATTAGACGAGCAATCGAGTTTATTCACCCGTGCTTACGGGATATTGCTCACATCTAGTGAGGTCCGTCGGCTGGTTTTGGGCAAGAAGCCCTCTAACGCCTCAACCGTTTATGTTGGCTCACTGATCGCCAGTCCAAGACGTGTTCATGCTATTGCGAGCGGTCTCCGTGGTTGGAACCTCGGGATGGCTCACATCAGTGACTTGAGGCACTATCGGACATGGCGTAGTCACGTAATCCATGACGTTCCTGCACTCGGTTTCTTGCATCGAGCTGTCAACATGCATTCCATTCTGCTTAGTGTTGTACGGATACTTCTTGATTTCAGTTTTTTTGTTTTCTGTTTGTGTTCAATTTCGTTTTCTAACCGCTGTTGCTTATTGTCCTTTCGGCAACTTGCGTCGTGGCAACTGCATCCACCGCATCTCGGTGCTCTGATCATGTTGTTTAACTGAACTGAACTGTAGAGTAAGCTTGATTATGATGCACGTCAGCAGAACTCCCAAGAAATCTGTCTTGGGTAGTATTCATACTTCGCCACCTTTGTTCGCTAGGCACTTAGAAAACTACACCCATATGCCACATGTTTGGACGGTTGAACATTCGCAAACCTTCGCCATATGCAGGACTGACGCCTCATCAGCAGCAACGGACTTCTTACTCGCTCCATTTAACCGTTCACTCTGATCCGGCAAAAGAATGCTTCCGCACCGATGTCGACGAGTTGGCCAACATTCTCAGTGAAACATTTGCGAAACATTATCAACTGTTTTGACCACTTACCACCGTTGTCGCGATTGATCTGATTGTTCACATGTTTCACAAATATCAGTAACGATTTTCGCTGCTGTTGTCGCGGGATCGGTGGTATTTGTTGATTGCGGTTATGAGCTGCAGGATTCGGTTCATGACTTTGGTCTGTTTGCCTCAATGGTCCATGGCATCCGTTTTGACTGAGATTCTTAGCTTCCCCAAAGAAAAGACCACCGATATCCTGCACGATGTTTCGGTGTTGATAACGTTACTTACTGTGTTCTAAATCGTATTTTCTGTCTCGGATACACTACCTGATTGGCTTTGAGAACAACCCTTAAAATGTGGCAGCTGTCTGTGTATAAAGCTGTCTCATGTCGCTTTTAGCTTAGCGAGGACCTGTGTTCTTTGAACAAAATAAGAGGGCTTTAAATCCTCAAACTCGGCATTAACGAGAGGTTTTATTTCTATCTGCTTTGAATTTCAACTCAGATACTCCGCTAATCTGTTTCTGTGTCAACTTTTTTTTACTGAGCTTACCTATGACATGAGGGTAGGGCGCGATCCACTGACAGAAGCTTTAGTGACTACGTTTCGACTCTGTACGCGACGAAAAGCACTTCACTCTATCCAAACTAAGCTTTTGATTTAGGTTCAGGATAATGAACGGCTGAACTTGACAAGGCAGTCAATGCATCACTGGGGATTGTAAACTCCGATGTCACCGCTTTGTGTAATACACGGGCGACGAAAATCGTTTATTGTCGGGAAAAGCATAAACCGCAATATGCCCCTAACTCCAAAGTGAAATTTAATGGATGATGTTATCGTCAAGGTGAGAGGTAACTACTATCTCTACTTTAGTGTCTGGGGTTCGGAATGTAGATGAAAGTGGTTAGCAACATATGCTTGATGAATAGAAGCCACAAAACTTGCTTGAAACAGTACTTAATGAATAGCCGGTTTCACAGCTTAGTATAGCATGTGCACTAGAATAGCTGATGGAGCTCACTTGAACTGGCAACAGTGTGTTAGCTAGCCTAATTCAAACCGGTGAAAATGCTGCCCCGTTTTCTTTGGACAACTTTAGCAGCAAAATACCAGCTGCTATGTTGAGCCTCTTGGGCTCGTGATAGAGCTCATTGTTTTGGATTGGTTTTGCATTGCATCCTAATCGCATGGTTAGATTGTCTGTACTCTGACGTTCTCCACCATTTTTTGCTATGGATTGATCCTATATATACCGAATTTTATCGGCCTGTTGTATGCTAAGTACCCGATTTGTTTGTCATCTGCTTAACGCAGTGTGTCATCTGGACATCCCTGATGTAGTCATGAATTTCAGTTCATCTTTTTCGACTACATGATGAGTTGTGAATTAATGCGGCTGAATTAAGTGAGTGTGCCCACGTTGTCGGAATTGACAAATGCTGCTGTCATCCAGGGTTCGTTTTAGGCTACCAGTTTCTTTTACATACCATGAATTAATTGGTTTATCACTTTTTGGTTGCTGATCCATTGTGAGTATCCAATGCGTTACTTCACCACCACATAGTTTTCGATGATTCCAACTTAGTGTTTATGCCATCATTGTTTAAGCTGGACATGGTCTCTACCTATCGTCAGTTAGCGGAGCTATCTCTTAAGTATTTTTTGTTCGTTTTTAGTTTCACTGCCTAATTCTTTAAAACTATTTCTAACTGCGTTTGTTTTTCGAGAAAGACCTTCACAAAGACCACTGGACATCCGAAGATGTGGGTTCCCTGATTATCCCACAATCTTTACTCAGCATAAATGACTCTGTCGCATCTGTGGTCGGCGCGATCGGAGAGAAAATCGCTGTTCGTAGGGCTTTCGGTTTGAGTGCGGTTGATCTGGATTCTACCAGCCGTCTCGCAACATACTCCCATATCAGTAGCACAGGCGTCAAATCTGCTATTCGAGATGTCAGGTTTGGAAAGTACGCCGCCGCTGTTCGTTATCGTCCCGTTGGAGAACAGGTACGTTTATTTATTGCTATGCATTTCACTGCTCTCTCAAAAGTCGGTGCTCGGTTTATTTATTTCTCTTCATCATACTAGGTGGACATCCGAGCACTAGGAGTACTTAATCAGGGGCGAATTTGGAGTATTCCCCTCCGGTTCGTCGCAGCTACAATCGATCACACAGCTATCTTGCTACTGTTAGGCCGTAATCAAGCCTTAGCTGTCACTGCGTGTCTCCGAGCTACAGATTGGATGATACCTTTCTTGTGGATGTATCTGTGAACAAGTTTGATTGAGATTCATAAACAGTCGTGGGCAACTCATCAGCAGCGGTGTATGTCATGGTGGGTTTTGACTTGGAAAGCGTTTTATCTATAGCGGAATATTGCATAAGCTGCATGAATGCACTGTGTTGTGCCTTATGTGACTCGCCACTAAATACAGTTATCATTGGAGGTGTTGGTATGACTTATAGTCACCCTGACGGCACATGAACTAACTTTTCAGTCATGAGGTCCAAGCGACAAGGAAATGTCTCTCCGAATTGCTCAAACCCACATCAGCATTTATCAATCTGAGCTGCTTGTGATGTCGTCGGGACGTCTCCATCTCGATAACGGACCGCGTCCACCATGCCTCAGTTCGTTCAGGATTGTTGTATGTGAGCGAGCCTCGGCCAATTCGCGTGGAGAACATGAGCTGTCTTTCTGCCTTCGACAACGGTTGTTTGAACAGTCACTTGCATGTGGTGGCAACGCCGAGTTCAAAGTGATGATGTTAGACGTCGCGTTCTGGAGAATGCGAGTATTCTTCTCAATAAGCTGTTTTACTGCGCCATTTGAGATAACTACGTCACGTCCTACGCGTGGCACCTCAGCGTTTGCCGTACCGCGCTCTGTTCGCTCGTGCAGAACCGGACTGGGGGCGATTGCATGTTAGTCAGCCTTCAAATTACTTAGCACATGAAATCGTTGACGTCACGTTTAGCTGCTGTTGGACCCGTACTTTTTCTTCGACGGGGACGCAAGGATGAGAAATGGCAGTGGCTTGAAATGCTTGAAGGCATGGCCTGCAGCCGAAATCATTTGAAGAACCATGTGCATACTTTGTTTAACATGTTTAATGCTTCATGCATTGAAAATAACTAATAAGAAAAAGAATCAGCTTGTTAGAAGCAAACATTTTCGCTCAAATTGTATTTTGCTTTGATTTCAGTGGTTTTTTGATAGATCCATATCTTCTCATTAGACTGTTAAACATATTTATATTTCCCAGTGGGTGCAAGTCTTATCTCGGCTTGCTGCCTTGTGAGCTAGTTGTCTGTCTGGGCTCGGGACGGTGGCATCCTAAGGCAACGGGATGTTATTTCGCCCACTGATGAACCTTGGAACTAAACTACATACGTTCTATTGGTAGCTCACCTTCCTATCACTACGATTACTTTTCTCTGTCACCGTATACCTCACTCCCGTTACAGTACATTTCCCCAGCGGTGAGATTGTCGCTTTACCGTCCTATAACCCAAGCACAGCGCCAAACTCTCCTATTTTCATTTCTTGTAACGCTGCCCTCGCCTCTGTTCTCTTCGCTGCCAACCCAGCCGGGGAAGAAACAAAACACCGAAACCTGCTAGGCCGAAGTGTATTAGGAACGGAACACGGTTAATTTTTATAGGTCACATGCTATCATCTTCGGCTGCATGTTTCTTAGCTGACTAATGCGACTTTCCTGGACAGACTCCACACCTGCTTGCAGTCCGCAGTGGCCAGCTTTAGTCGCACTCACACGCCTATCGCGTATCAACCTGTCTCGTGATGACGGACTGATTTCATCAACTTTCCTCGTGACTTGCCGCACGCCTACTGTACGTCTCGAAAGCGTGTCACATTCTTAGGTTGCGGCCTCCGAACATCTCCCCTTTCGAATTGGGTCTGCTTGCGTACCATTCGAACTCTACAACATTTATTGCTTTTCGTTTTTAGGTCAACTTGTAGTCATTGTGATCGTCTCCGCTTTCGGGTCGGCCTACATTGTGAGCCATTGGTTAATTGCAGGTCCTGTTGTATACCACGTAGTCGCTCAGCTTCATCTTCCAAGTCAAACGTGTCTAGCTGGATGTCCCACGGTAAGGATGGCGATTCTGAGGGACTTTGGGTCTTGTTGTAATTCGGTCTCAGCTGGTTGGCGTGCCTGACCCATTTCTCATTTCTTACAATTAGCTCGGGGATGATTGGACCATTTCTGTGGATCACTCTTCCTGTCGACCACCTCCTCGGTCCCCGGAAGTCTCGCGTGTACACCATGTCACCAATTTTGAGATGACGGACCTTGTTTGTCCGATTTTTCTCCATATTACAACTGCAATGCTTTTCTTTCCTGCTTTCTACAGGGCGCTTTGCTCTGGATACTGATTTAGTGACTGGCTTGAGGTTCAGGGCAGCACTTGTCATTCTGCAGCATTCTGGACTAGGTTGGGGCATTGCTTCGTGGCGTCTTTTCATCTGCGTAATCTGACTTGGAACTACCGAACTTGATATTGATGGTTGCGACAGCTTGATGGCTTACGGTGGCTGGCATACCGTGTTTATTGACTTCTCCAGCAATTTCCATTCCTCCATACAGTCGATTCCCAGCAAATCTAACCCCAGTTGGTCTGTCACAAAGCACGTTGTGTGGATTTGTTGGCCTCAAAAATTGACTTGGCAGTTCTGTTCACCAAGCATTTTTAACGTACCACCTGAAGCATTCCATGCCGTATGGGCCGTTAGTACGAGTGTCTGCCACCCTAGCCTGCGACACGTGTCTCTAGAGATCGGAGTGATATCTGAAGCAGTATCAAGTTGTAACTTAACTTACCTGCCATTGATTTCCACCGTGATGTACTTACGCCTGTTGGCGCCATCAACGTTGAAAGTTGCGGTGATAGTTCTGATCCCATCGGACCGTCCGAACGGTATGGCATTGTCGCGCTTCTTCCTCGACAAAGTAGGACCACATGCCAAACAACACGAATTTTTATGACCTTTTCTGCCGCGTCGGTTGCAAACGGGGTTCTTAAATGGGCGATGTTGAGCAAAATGCCATTCTCTAGAAAACCAACAAACATAGGGAGCTTTGGAATGTGATGCACTCACTTGAGTTAGTGCTTTTTGCGTAGTCCGGTTGACCGCACAAAGGAGATCATGCTCGTTCATGTTGGACAACTGCTGAATCATTGATGTATCATGCTTCAGGTACTTCGTTCTCTTGCACCCACCGGTCACTCGCTGTGATGTGAGGTCAAGATTCTGTTCAACTATGCTCAGTATTCTTGTTCGCATGTCTGCATCTTTGGCTGCTTATAGGCAGCAAACGTAAATGAGACACTTGTACTGGTCACCGGACATCTTGTGAAACTGAACCTTCGCACTCGCGACTTACACGACTCAAGTAGGTGACCCAATCTTCGTCTTCTTTCTTGGCCATCGTGAGACACTTGTAGCGGATGTTAAACAAGAATGTCTGCTCATCAAAAAGTTGTGACAGGACTGAGACAACTTCGTCAAGGGATAGATAAGGGCTCTTCTTTGGCAAAATGAAATTTGGAAACTAATCTTTTGATTCGTTCTCCGAATCAAATTGTTAACTACCAATCCAAGCTAAAGGTATTCTGAATCATTGCAAAGAAATTCGTAAACGTTTCATGTTCAGCCGCACCCAACTTCCGGAGCATCAGGTAAATTTTCTCTTACGGTACATTTGCGAGATCAGCACGAAACATGTCTTCATACTTGTGAAACCAGGAAGCGAATGTTATACCAGCATCCGCGTCACACTGGTATTCACTGATCTGCTGCGTCTGGGTTTCTGGCAAGGGAACACTTTCTCTTGCCCCTTCCCATGGGTCTGATTGTACCGACAGCTCCTGCGTCAACATCTTGATGAGATTGGCCTTCTGCTGCAAAAGTGCCTGCAATTGTTCGAAGCCGACTGCGATTTCTGACTTCGATTGAAAACTTCGTCGGCACTGTTGTAACACTGCCATCGCCGCTGCTCTCTTCGCTGCCAACCCAGCCGGGGAAGAAACAAAACACCGAAGCCTGCTTGGCCGAAGTATATTAGGAACGGAACACGGTTAATTTTTGTAGGTCACATGCTACCATCTTCGGCTGCATGTTTCTGAGCTGACTAATGCGACTTTCCTGGCCAGACTCCAAACCTGCTGGCGGTCCGCAGTGGCCAGCTGTAGTCGCACTTACGCACGCCTATCGCGTATCAACCTGTCTCGTGATAACGGACTGATTTCATCAGCTTTCCACATGACTTGCCACACACCTACTCTATCTCTCGCATGCGTATCACATCCTTGGGTTGCGGCCTCCGAATGTATCTGCAACCTGGAACGCAGTGTATAGTGTGGACACGGAGGCAGTTTGTGCACTTGATATTTGCATCTTGCTTGGTACACGACTTCAGGCTTAGTCTGCCTGTTGTCGTAATCAGTTCACCCGTGTACTCATTTCCATTTTACTCTTTCTAGTAAAACCGAGTTCAATGCGTCTATGCAATCATCATCATTATCTACATTACGCGTTAGTTGGAGGTGTGCGCGTTACAAAAAGAAAATATATAGGAAAAAGTGAGACAAAACGTCACAGGATACTACATAAAAACCGGTCTAGACACATTTTGTTTGAATCGACCTTAGCGCTATAGCCAAAGCCACTCACTGTTATGGATTCCGGTCAGCTGTCGCCTATGCGCTGTGAGACTCTTATGAAGTTTCCAGGCGTCGAATTGTTTTATACTCTTTACTATAGCTCACATTAGCATTCAAGGACCAAACCGGTCAACATCCGCATGATATAATTCTGCTTGTTTGTATGACGTGACTCGTCACTATGGCGGGGCGAATTTAATTCTTGTGGTCGGAGGACCGCATGGATACGATGACACTCATTCGGGTACATTAGAACTACTCAGTCTGTGTGTGGACTAACACCTTTCTCCTTCAGCACCAAATTTAAACCCTGGTG